AGTTAAACAATTGAGTGTACGAGAAAAAAGTACGATAGCGCCGCTGATATATTCGACAGGTTACTTTTGTAACCCTTCAATCGCGAATTCCGATATTTTTGGAACCCGTTCAATTGTCTTCATTGTCTGATGACACTATTGTATAGCGAATTCGAACTTCAGTACAATTCTTGCAAAGAAAATATTACACATTCACAAAAAAACAAATTTATAAGTCGATTTGTACGATTGATCTAAATTAATGAATGTTGCCTATTAATGAATTCTTGACATATAAAATTCAACTACTATTAAATGTATTCTTGAAATATTATTTGAAAACACTTTTATAGTAAGAACATTTCTTATGTACTGTACCTATATGTAAATAACCGTTCATTAAGCTTTTTTTTTGCAGACCACGTAAAACGTCTTAGTTCCTTATATAAATATAATTGTTTTATTTACACACCGATATACCAGTATTTACAATATTCTTAACCTACACAGTAGTAATAGTAATAATAATTTCCCCAAATATACTCGCAATATAATATATTCGCTGCATTGCTTACTTATTCGTTAAGCGAGGAAAGCACCAGCTCACAGGTCACTGGTACTAAATATACCAGGAGCCAAAATAAATAATAAATCATGTAAATATTTTTTTAAAATAGACCTATTGGGGGATCTCTATACTATCTTAATCAACGTTTGCTTCTTGTAGGTCAAATACAAACCGACAGTTCGTTATTGATAGATAGTCTACTAAACTAAACAGCTTTACTGTATCAAAGAATGACAGTTATTTCAGATATCTAGTGTTAACTTATCTCTGACATCTTAAGGTACCGCCAAAACCTGTTTGATAATGAACACTCATTAAATACGATAAAAGGAATCTGTCGGCTCAATAAAACCAGAGATTCTAGACTCACATATATATCCTTTAAATCAATTTTATCACGTCTTAAATAAACTTTCCCCCTGCTTTTGCGAGCATCTGTCTTCGTATTGTCTGAAGTGATTTGTGATACTCAGATTAGAATGGGACAGATATATCCAAATGTGGTAAGTGGAAGCGAGACGTTAGGTCATCAATTGGACCCTAACAATTAATTATAATGGCGCACATCGTCTATCGTTTTTCAATTTTTATTCTCACGCGGAAGGTGCATTCCTGAAATAGTTTTTCACGCCAAAATCAACTCGGACGGCTGTCTTACGTAAATTGTTCGCCGGCTTTAGAAGTAACTTTTATAGGTTTAGTTTTTGTTAGGTTTCACATTTGTTTGTTCAAGATTTATTGTTTTTATTGGAATTTGTAAATATTTGTTGGAATATATATTTTTTATTATTAGAATTTATATAAATAGTTTTGAAAACTTTGCATTTATATGTTTAGTATTTAGGTAAATTGTAATATGAATCATAAATTGTGTGCCAAAATAGTTGTTCGATAGACTTCAGAACGTAGTCTACATCATTTAATTGGGTGCCATCACGCCCCAGCACATACATAAAGATTAAATCTCTCATTACACACACAAAACCCGTTTGAATTGTCCGTGCAATTGTTTATCTTCTTTTGAGATGTAACTAACGCTATCACCGATCTTTTTTGCTCACCTCGCCTTACCATACAAATATGTAAACAGTAGGGCGACGACTTTTAACGGTTTTCTAGCTTTTACTACAATTTTAGAATTAGAATTGAATAGCCTCTTCTTAAGGAACTTTTTTGGTAAAAAATATTTTAATGTAACTTGGTAATACATTTTCATAAAGGTATTTTTAAGGTTCAAGAATAGTAGATATTGGCCGAGTTGCTTCAGCGTGCGACTCTTATCCATGAGGTCGTAGGTTCGAACCCCGGCTGTGCACTGTGGTGTCTTTCTTTCTATGTGCGCATTTAACATTCGCTCAAACGGCTCAAACTTCGTGAGGAAACCGGCTTGCCTTAGACCAAAAAAGTCGACGGCGTGTGTCAGGCACGGGAGGCTGATCACCTACTTACCTATTTGATTGACAAATGATCATGAAATAGATACAGAAATCTGAGGCCCAGACCGAGGAACGGTTGTAGCGCCAATGAATTTTTATTTTATTCTTAAGGTTAAAGGTTCGATTTCTATCGACAATAACTTTAGCCTGACTACTCAAAATTTATTACAGAGATAACGTTCTTCCTCATGCCGTTACGAGGCATATATTGCGAATTAAATAGATAGGTATACATTATGTTGAAATAAACGAACTAAAATAAGAAGATATAAGTAATAATTTAGCCCAGGCTCGTCGGCGGGCTGTGATGGTTATCACACGTAGTGCCAAGTGCAAAAGGAGATTATGTAAGGCGTAGTAATGTTCATAAAAAGTAGGCGAAAACGCGACAATCAGATACCGCAATTATGTTTGTACGTGACACCTCCAGTTCCCAACAGATAGTATCTTAGTGTTGGGAGCGACTCCAATTACGATGATACATGATAGAAAAATATGGACAAACGTGTTACGGTGTTCGCGAGGGCATTTATTTTTTGCGTTTAAATTTTTGTTTAGTTTTGACCAAAGATATTTATCTGCAGTTAGAAAAAAGGATGTACTGTTTTTATAAAAAAATATATTGTTAGAAATAGAAAAGGAACTAAAACGATTGTGATTATGATAGACAAAATTAAGTTCACTGACGACAAAGTTATATTAAATGGAAATGTAGCAAGGCAATGATAGCCAATGCTGCAGGTTCAGGTGCTGTTAACTGTGTTCCGTATAAGCATATTGTTGTGCTTTCAGATTGGAGAAATGAAACTTTTTTACGAAGATACAATAATAATATAGCTTAAATATGTTTTTACAAATAAATTTGTAAATCAATACTTGGTGATTTACAGGAGTGGCCGAGAGATTCTTGCAAGTTTTTCTCGCCCGTTCTATGCCCTTGATTTGGGAACAACTCCTAATATTATCCCTTATAAGTGTTTTCAATAAATTTTGATTAAAAAATATGCATTAAATCAAAAAGTTATTAAGATGTATATTACTATAATCCTATCTAGCGTAACCTTTATTAATGTAGTTATTTTTCGCACATAGAGAATCCAGTGCCTAGCCACGACTTGACGGCGGACGGGACTCACGGTCGAAAGTCGCGCGTTATTGCGCCTGCCAACACTGCGAAAAGATATAAGGGAAAGAAAACAAGTATATGTCAATAGATTTATCTATATATTTTAATGATGAATAGTTCATACAGCTGTCGAATACAGTCTCTTGTTATTTCCTTCAAGCAATTTTAAAACATTCTGTAGAAAAATGGCAATTCTTATTACGAGTCAAATCACTGTTAGTAAAATCAAACGATATCTATTTGAGTTGAAATTGCTCTTAATTAATGAATTCCTTGGAAAATTATATTCATTTATAATATATTTTGTTTTTAACTACAAATTTATCAACTATATATTACAAAATTTAACTTACAGTTAGATTCATCAATCGTTTAAAGGTGCGTTCAATTGTTCTAAAAAAATTCAGAAACTTCAATTTCTTCATATAAAATCTAATGCGTTTTAATACTTTTGTCTTTTAGAGATATAATATGAAGTGACGGCGAGAAGCTATGGAGCTGAAGGGTATTTTTCGTTTAAACATATGATTCCATAAAATGTTCGTTTGTACTAATGACATCAGTATGGCTAAGACCAAAGACCAATATTTTGTCTCATCTATTAGACCTTTAGTTCAAACAGATAGAATGACTATAGTCAATACTTAAGTCAAAATATTTGTATTTTACTCGTAACAACAATAAAACAAAATAAACTTTTCGAAGTTAACAAACTAACATTTCCCATTTGAACTTTGAGAATGACGATGATTTTTTAAATAGTTCCATAGATTCTGACCATAAACTTCATGAAAAATATATTTCTCGTTCCCAACAACTAAACGCACTCCACTCACAGCACAATTGATAAAACATATTTTCAAAATATGTCTAATAATAAACACGTAAATATAGCTTACAATTGTATTTACACGATAAAGCGATTTTTATACTACGTGGGAAAATTAATCGAAGCGAAAAGATCCCTCGACATCTTTAAAATAACACTATGTATTCAATAAAATATTTTCATATTGTTTTAACAAAATCTGAATGTGATTAAAACATAAAATAAAATTACAAAGAGAAACAAAATAAAAGATGTCGATGTCTTTTCGTGAAATATGTCTTACTTAACTATTGCGGTGAAAACTATGTTCTGTATCTATGTGATCAACTACGGTTCGAAGACGTCACGGCACAAATCTTACTTAGGATATTAGAAGTACAATGATAATAAATTAAAATATCCCTTATTGCAACCGTACTTTAATAGAAGAACAAGTAGGCGTTTCCATTTAACTTCAATAGTTCAAATAAGGTTGCTTTCTAGCAAAGAAGTTCAGAAGACTAACAAATACGACATAACTGCGTAATTAATGACTTTTACAAAATGTATGATTGAAAAGGATATTTATTATATGAAGCTACTTTACGTTAAAAATAAAGTTTTAAAAACTTGATAATAATGACACTTTGTATTCATTGCAAACCTAAGCTATGACCGATTATCCACGTGGTGGTCTGCGGGTAAGGTACAGGCGTGACTGTCCATCGACGAACATAATATCTAAGACCTTTCAGCAGTATACACGGTGATGAGAATAAAAATATGATGCTTGTTATCATACACAATGGTCAAAATAATGGGATTAAATTAAAATAGAATTCTGTTTCTTTATTCTGCAGGGAAATGAAATGTTTGTAAATATTTGAACGTTTCCAAGAAAGTTCCCCAGCATCGTGTATACAGCCACACTAAACCAGCTATTGTATAAGCTTAACTATTTACATCATTCGATCGACCCGATAAGAACTCGACAGAAAAACAAAATAGGAACGATACAAAACGACATCCCATGGGGGATCATATAAATACACTCTATGTACACAGTCACGACTTGGTCGCGAGTCAGTCCTGAGTCTCCACATCCAGGCCGTTCACCATACGCTCGATGCTCTTTAGGTCGGACGCCGGGGGCGTGTTAGGGGTCGTCGTGGACGTGGGGGCATCCGGTGGGGGATCAGCAGACGCCGCTCTCGCCGGGGGTGAGCCCACTCGCGGCCGCGCAGGCGACGAAGACAAACTCCTCGCTCGGGGCGCTACTTGCTCGAACGCTGATCCCAGGCCCGGTAAAGCGTAGGGGGCGAACCTGTGCGTTTTGCTCAGGGACGGCGTGGGATTAGGAGCGGGGGGAGGTGGTAGAGAGTACTGCTGCAGGAGAGGGTGAAGGTTGAACAGAAGTCCTGGCGGCATTTGATGCGGCGGGAAGAACGGTGGGGGATATAACGAATGAGGATATAGATATGGTAAAAGGGGAGGTTGGATAGGTGGACCCAGGGACACGTCAGGAGCGGGCGAAGGCCGGGAAGGTCCGGGTGGAGGAGACTGCGCTCGCGGCCCTCCTGAACAAGAGGAGTCGGAACCGGCTTCTTCTGGGCCAGAATCACCACCGCCACCGCTCGATGTGAACCATGCTGTAAGAAAACGGCAATTTTAGTTTTTTTATTATAGACTAAATACGTTAAAGAACGCTTTAAATGCTATAAAAAAATCATAATTCTTTCGTTTCAACTTTCAAGGAAAAACATTCTTCAACTTATGTATACTAAGAGTCGAGTAGAGAAAAGTTCATCAACTTTTTTACAACAAGTATCTCTTAGAACGTAAGGAATACATTACTCTAACGATTTGGTAGTGGATACTTACAGCTGGTAGAATGCTGCGTGGTAGGTGCGGGAGGGGGCGGACTGGAGGGTCCTCCGACGTCCAGTGGTCGCTCATCGTCATCGTCTCTGGGGTCAGACCGCGCCGTCAACAACGCTTGCCTGCGGTACACAGACAGACTGCTCGTGTTAACATTGTACTTATTACTATTGTGCAAATAATGTTTAAGCTATAATAAATAAGGTATAAACTAATATGGTTTTATTATCAAATGCATTATTTTACAATTTTATATAGGATCTTATTAATCGATCTTGGAATGTGTGTATAGATGATTTTTTAAATTAAAGAGGTTCAAAATTAGTAGTATCAGCATTTTTATACTTTTTGGTGAATTAAAGCATTCTTAGTTAGCAGGATTCGGAAGGTCACGATATGATATGGTGGATCCGCGTTATTTTTGGTAGCTTTTAAAAGTAACTAAGTCAGAATTACTTTGTAAAAAGTATACAGATTTTAATGATAAATAATAAATCAACAAATAGTCGGCGAAAATTCCCAAATAACGTTATGTAAGTGAAACATAATTTCGATATCTTTTAGAATCCGTAGCGCTGATGTCGCAAACCTGGAATTAGGTCCGTGGTACGAAAACTCAATAACATTTTATATTCTTATAATATTCCTTATTTGGCAAGATTTAAAGTTATAACTTTGCACTACTGTAGTTTTTAACTGTACTTTTAAATACAGGTGATAAATAAAGTTTACCTTTAAACAATAATTGACGATTTAACCAAGGACATTTGTGAATCAGTTTATTTAAAATTAATTTATATGTACTTAAAAAAACATTGGATCGAGTAACTGTTCAAATTCTACAATAACGGCAAAAATATTTTTGGAACAATGCCTAAAGCGCTCACCATTTTCCACGAATTACGTAAATCAAATCCATTTTTGAATTTGGAAAATAACATAGATACATTTCTAAATTTTCAAGTGCCGAGCAACAGGATACCTATAATCTATACTTAATAGATTTTATATCCAAAAATTTGGTTTAATAATAAGCAACAGCTCTGCCCAGAGGTACTCGAATAGCAACAAAAATATTCTAAGTTTAAAAATGCCACTCATTTAGCGAGGGGTGTCAAACGGTTGACATTTTGGTTAATGGCCCACCGCGACCCTTCAAAGGTTAATCATTTCTTAATGATAGTCTGTCGCGCCCTTTACCACCTTTATTGCTAAAACGATTTGCTAACAAATTTGGTGTGAAAAATCATATAAATGTATATAATATGTATTTTAGTGTGTAACGAATGCAGTAACATGAATGACAATCCAGGAAAATCTGTTAATGAAATAATGTGACAAAGAAAAATCTTAAGTAGCTTCATTGGATTTAAGTTATTTCAGAGGTGATTCATAGATTAGATGATGTACTATCTACTCTCATAAACACGCCTAATATGTCTTTGAAGCTATCTTCATATAGTGTTTTCTTTTATATTATAACATGTAAATGTGTATGTCTTATTAAGTATTTATTTAACTAAGTGTCAGCGATTTATGCCCGACAAACATCGAGACACGCCGGCTTTCTCTCCTTTAATAGCTCTTTTCAAAAGTACCCAAGACTCAGATACTCAGCCAGAATAGCTATGTAAAAAGTAAACAGATTTTAATGATTCGTTGATAAGTTAACAAATAGTGGTCTTCGCCCACTATTATATATAAATATTCTTTTTAAATTGCTCATAGAAGGAAATCCATTAGTCCATGTCCAGGTTTCGAATATACGACCTGAGTGTTGAAAATAGCTGAATCTACAATTCAGTGTGTGCCTCAGACACAGACAACAAAACAAAGTTTAAACACTCAATGGTAAAACAAAGTATTTTAAAGTCACCGTCTGTATTGTCTTAAAGTTTACCAACTGTAAAAACTGTCGTATTGTTTCATCCTCAAACACTTTGGGGGCTGTCTGATTACGGCTTCTGGTAAATTCATTTTATTAACTCATCTCATCGCCTGATAGAATTTAATTTAACCACCCCTAGTCGTTAGGGCTGGTAACTGCTAATAAAATTAAATAATGAAAAATGAGCGAGCTTTCAAACATTTAGCTAAATCCGCTTTGTTGTAGTTGTCTAGTGTATAAACTCTTAAAACTGTTTCCTAAGCTGTGTGTAGCCTATTCATTACATAGATGTCGTAAAACTAGAGGTCTACGGTTTAGTCAAATATTTAAGGCCTCCGAAATGTACCCTTGCACCAATATTATGAGACAATACAATCGTTTTAATTCCACACACACACAATTAGCTTTTAATTCATTTTACCGATAGTAAAACATTTGAGATATAGCCTTAAGAAATTTTTAACACAATTGTTACTAAAGTGACGTAATAAATGTAGGTTAAATCTGAAATAAAAACAGAAATTGGTAACCCTAAATTAAACAGCTCGCATTAGGGTGTTCGCGTTACAATGTAAACGTCACGGCTGGGTGGCGAGCTCGCCCTGTAATTTTCCCAAATTTTTATCCCCAAAATGCAACCCGCCACCCTCGCCGGTTTTATTGAGCATATTTTTGATGATACATTTAACAATATTGTTTTGATTCACTTTAAATTTATGCGATGATACTTCTGTTGCAAATAAAATATTTCGTGTTGAATTTATGAGTACTCTCGAGGATTGTAATTTTGGAATTTATTTATCGGTTTCATTTTAAGCTCGCAACTGGTTATATATAATTAAGAAAAAAGTTCCACTTAATTCTACCGAAATAAATTGGCTTCGTCGAGCACTTTTTGAAGGGGACCTGTGGTATTGGAACTTTCATTCCTCACGAATGTAACAAAAGATCTAGGTAGTGGCCACTAAGCCACCTTTGCGTTTATTAATATATTAACACGGACTTATAAAGATTACATAATGCATACATTGATATCGTTTAAGTTTATTTTTGCTTTTTTTGGACTCGCTTGTGTATGTCTTTCGACTTGGTCTTAATAATAATGAATACCTATTATTTGACACAATAATTAAATAATATGATTTGAAATCAATTCCCAATTTAATATAAATAAATTGAAAATAATTGTTAACTGTGATTTCTATAAGTAGCTATTTATTAAAAGTAGCATTGTTTTACATCTAATATTTGTTACAAATCATTCTACAACTCATCTGCTCATAGTCAGAAGACTGATTGCACGATGCGCTCTTTAAAAAAAAAATTGTTTCAAATGTTTATTAGTATACATTTTTTATTGCTTATTTTTATTTCAATACAATTTTCTGTTTAAAAAAACAACAAGCCCATCATAACGAGCACAAAGGCTTCGCTGAGATATGCGGCATGTGTCCTGGGCTTTTCAGGTGGCGTTTATCAAACCGCTCACGTTTCCCGCGCTTCCGGCTCGGCGGCCATTTTGAAAAGACGAGTTTCCGGTGTCCGTCGGCGTATGCCCTTTAATTCGGACGCTGTGGCCTGGCAAATCCGGTGTAAAATGTTGTGTAAGCGAATTAAAGATGCCTTCCTGAACTTCATAAATATCTAACGTAGTCTCTCTAATGGGCTATTGTTCAATTGTTTTTGCTTTTTGATAAAATTTTGTTTTGTTCTTTACGTCGTACCTCAATAACTACTAAGATTATATTGAGCGAAGTCTAGTGAAATATTACATTGTATTTATTACCCACGCATTTTTTTTAATAATAATATTCTCATACTTGAATTTCAGGTTCTCTGGGCCTAATCATACTGAAAATAACCATACGGTAACCTACTCTTACGAAATATAGTTTTGCATTTTATAATAAATTTGTTAAGGAAGCTTACCAATTAATTTTTAACATGAAACGGTGACAGATACTAAAAGAAGTATTCCAAATTTAAGCAGCAAGTGATTGATAAATATTTAAAAGTAGATCTGTCGATTGTGCCCAGCATCACGACTTAATCTCAGCTCAAACTAATTGAGTCCTTGTTCGTTGAAATTCAAATAAGTAAGCGGAACCGCAATCTCCCACTGCGGTGTGCTATCAAATTATGCGGTGAAAAAAGTCTAAAGCTGATTTTATCGCGGAAATCCAATTTTCTCCCTCGCACGCTAAAGACGTTGGAAAAAGCGCCAAGTCGAATGACTCCACCATTTTGAACAGTTACCCGCCATGTTTAAATCCTGAACACGAATAAGGAGGCGCCGGATTGGTTTAATTTGAATTTGGAACGGCGTCGGTTCTGTACGTTTCGAAACGTCCTAATTAATTTGAGGAGATTCACAGATAACGCTAATTTCGTTAGATGTTTCCGTTATATTGTCTATGGACTCATTAATTACACCTGCCTGGTATCAACTTTATTGAACCTTATTAGCTCCAATAAATCCTTTTGAAAAATAGAAAGGATTTCGATTCATTCAAATATGGAATCACTTAAATAAAATAGTTTAAATACTTACTTCTTTTCCCTTTTCCCCGCACCTGTGTCTCTAAACCCTTTCGCGAAAGGGTTATTGTCGATTTTCAGTTGTGTTATCTGAAACAAAGATATTTTTATAACGATGTAGTTTTTATATTTGATATATCAATGACATTAATCTTGACCGTTTAAACATTAAAAAGGTCACATATTATCTCTACACTGTCTATTACATAATGTATTTAATAATTTGTCTTTTTGGTATTAAGCTGCTGTGCCATCTAACCCGAAACATCGTTTTCTCAGGAGTCAAATCCATGTTAGACATTAAAGAAACTAAATTTTTCTTATAGCACCAAGGCGATTAAACTTCCTGGACACTTTAACGTTTATCAGAGGAAGTTTAAAGTAAGAAGGGCCAGGAAACTTTTTCATAACTAGTTGCTATTTACAATTAGCATAGGTATAGTGTAATATTTCCACCCAAGAGTTGACTTTCAGCAAAATAGACGGGAATATTCGAATGTTAAAATAAAATTGTAGAACATTCAATTCAAAAAGAATTGATTTAAATCACCGCGTAGTTAAAATGTAATTAAGATAATTTTTGACTTACCTTTTCATTCTGATAGGCGGTGACCGCGATGAACTCCGTCTCCTTGAAGACGTAGGTCCTGAAGGTGGAGTAAGGCAGCTTCAAGATGTCGTTGGCCCTCACTAGGTGGAACCGGGGCTGGTACTTGTGCATCGAGTTGAGGATCGTCTGCGTAACACACTTTAAACAGCTTAGGAACTTGACCGAGTAACTTAGGATTGTAAACGGTAATCTAAATTTTAGCTTTATTTATTTATTTATTTATAGCCTTTTATCAAAAATACAAAATATATACATTATAATATTTTTTTTCTTAATCTACGATAACCGATTCTGTGTGCCTACGGGCAAAGGCCTCCCATTGTCCTCCATTTTTCTTTATTGTATACCAATCTCGACCAGGTGACCACACGATGTCACCGAAGTGTGACATCGTGTGACAAGAGGCAAGGGGGAGTCAATACTTTTGTGACGTCACATGTTAAAATTTTAAATACTAAAACGCAAAGTTTGGATGTGAATTAAAAATTTACGAACTTGATCTATATTTATTAATAATTTAGCATTCTTGCTATGCGATAATCCCTCATGCAACGTCATTTAACTTCTAGAGCGGCGTTGTAATGCAAGTGAGACACTCAAATTCACGAGAATTTTGAATGGTAAGGATTTAAATAGGTTTAAGTCGTCGGCGAGTGCTCGTGAAATGTTGGACTTTATGTTGATTTTATTAGATTATTATTTAATAAAAATAAGTAAAAGAAAAATAGCTGTTTTCTCTTGATTATTTTTAAATACATACATAAATTTAAAAAATGTGTGACGTCACATCTGGAGGGGGGGTTATAAAAATGTACAACCTGTGACAAGGACGGGGGGAGGGGTTCAAAAGTCCTAAAATTCGTGTGACGTACTTTATGGATGGCCCCTAATATGTCCAGCCCATTTCCATTTAAGTTATTTTGTTTTATATGCAACGTCAGCAAACCCTGTTTTATCTCTTAAATTCTTGTTACTTATTTTATCAATTCTTCTTTTCTTTATAATACATCTTTCACTTAATCTTTCACATGGTGCTTTATTAAAGCTTAAAGCTTTTTAATTTTGCGACTATTAGTATTTGAATATTAGTATTAACGTAGTACGTCTAGTTTTGTAACGTCGTTGATTTGTTTATAGTTAATTTAATAACTAAGAGGATATTCGTATAAAATCGTACCATGATAAAAGCTATTGATACGTTTTTGTTCTATCATACTACTGTTTTACATAGAAAATATTATTGTTTTCTATTTCTGTATTGTTCCTATAGATGTTAAGCGTTTTAAATAACACATTTGTGTTTTATGTATAATTTATACTCTAATAGCCTATATAGTCAATAATTGTTACAGCTTGTTCAGTCCAATAAGGAATAGAAGTTCGTAAACTTCTACATGAAAGTTCATTGATACTGTCTAAAAAATAACAAGGTTAAGTAAATTCGACTCTCGTAATAACAGTCTCGACCCTTTTTCTTACTTAAATTATAGGATATTACGAGTCCCCAGATATTGCCGGTAATAGGCGCTTGTTACAATGACACTTTGCATTTTTTATTAACGAAAAGGCGTAGACTAACTTGTTACGTTTTTGTTCTGTAATAGTGCCTTTTAAATATCATAATGGAATAATCAAAAGAAAGATTATGATTTACAATTCATTTTGACCAAATACTTCTGCCAGTCAAAAGTAGATATTATTAATTTTATTAATTAGGTAAAAAAATTCATTAGAATTATTGTTAGTGAAACTTATATATATATATGAAGAATAAAAATATATCGATGACAAACCATGTTATCTATATAAAAAATAATGCGTTAAGAAAAAAATACCTGGACAAAATGGCTTCTAGAGAATATGTATAAAAAATAAATAATGCGGTAAATATAAAAAAAAACATATATCCGTCCTCAATTTCTCAACAGTTTACAATATCGTGATATTATTCATATTATATTCATATATTAGGGCGGTATTAACAATTTTACAGAGACTTAACAATCCTTACAAGTACAGGCGGTATCTTATGTATTCAAATAGATATTTCAGTTCCTAATAAAGACAGCTTATTCACACATGCATTATAATTCCACCTGAGTATAATCTAGATAAATAGCTATTGTTGCCGGCATAAATGCTTTGTACGCTATGCATTTGTATGCAAAATTATGTTTAAGATTCCTAGGCGCGATCAGAGTGTTGTCTTGTAAATCAATTGACATACAATAGGTATAAATAAATTATTTGTAGCGAGGAAATAACTAAATAAATGAGAGAACTAATGTATAGATTTCTCAGAGTTTTAATCAAGAGTTTATTTACCCAGTAAATGAGTTCACTGCAATCGGAACCTAGACATTACCTACCTACTTTCTAAATCAGTGTTACTGGGATTTAACACTTCAAGTTGAAAGTTCATATTAATTATCTTCATCCAAATAAAATCAGTGGTACTAACAACAACATTTTTAGGTCTGGGCCTGAGATCCGCATCTATTTCATGATCATTGGTCAATCTAATTGGCAAGTAGGTGATCAGCCTCCTGTGCCTGACATACGCCGTTGACTTTTTGTGTCTAAGGCAAGCCCGTTTCCTCACGATGTTTTCCTTCACCGTTCGAGGGAATGTTAAATGCGCATAGAAAGAAAGTCCATTGGAGCACAGCCGGGGATCGGACCTATGACCTCAGGGATGAGAGTCGCACGCTGAAGTCACTAGGCCAACACTGCTCTTATCTTAACCACACAATGTGTAATTAAATGGACGCTTCTAAGTAGGTACGGCAATAGGCAATGCATAATATATTTATTCGAATGAATTTGCAACCTGCGATGACTTTCTAAAGGTATTTTTTCGATTAAGAAAATTTATTATGATTTTTTCTTTACATTGAATTCTAAACGGTTACAATAAGGTTAACAATTGATGTGTAATACCATTAAAAACAGAGAAAGTTCTTTTTTAGCAAGCGGAAAACGATGGTTACTCCGTTATCTCTACATTTACATTTTACAATAGTGGTTAAATCATAATGACTTTAAGTTATCATAAAATTAGTGCAAGTTGATGGCATAGCATCCGGCTTAAGGAAGGGTTCATTACTTCTCTTATTTGTGACGTTTACATATCTAATAGTTACGAGATTTTACTTTAATAATGAACAATTATTTTTTATAATTTACACGCGCCACCGCGGGAGTTTTTTAATTCAAAACTACTTTTTAAATAACGTATATCTATCCTAAATAATTATTATTAGGAGAACAGAATATGCAAGTAACGCAGAAGGAAGCTTGTAATATATGTACAAACAAAGAACGAATTAATCGTTTAATTGATGTAATTGAAGTGTGCCCGCACGCTCAGATTTCTTTAAATTACATAAATTGCTCTTAATTTCAACGCGTCGTTAACAAAGTATGCATTTATAAAGATTTTTACTCTAATTAAAACATCCTGATTTGTGTTTCTATTGTAACACAAGCATAACCATACAATTAATTAATGTAATGCTTTTTCAGTTATGTTCCTTCAATTTAGGCGATTAAATAACAGAGGATCTAAACCTAAAAACCTAAGTTTTGGCAGCGTTTGAGGTGATTGAACTAGTGCATCGGTCCCTAACGGATTTAAAAAAAAGACGACTGAACATGACATTCTAACTAATTGATTGATAAGAATAAATTAATTATAAACTTTGATAATTTGATTACTGATATAAATTGTAATGAGGTTAAATTATCACGAACGTATAGTGTAAACTTAAGATCGAGAAGCAAATTGTCAAAAACAATTTCATTCATATTCCACAGACTATAAATGTTACTCTAGTTATAAATCACTAAAAAGTTTACATATTCTCTCGTACCATAGATTGACGTCATAAAGAAATCTAATGAAGCGGACAGACGAGGCCATTTCAAAAGCGATAACGGAGAAATTATAATCGCTAGTCGGTCTTAATTACGGACCTTTTATCTATCCGTCCAATTTCTTTATTTTACGGCTAGAGAACGTATTTATATGGTAATCGGGATGCCCGGTGGTCTATCGATAAATTGTTAAAACGTTTGATTCATGAGTGGTGATGATATCGGAAGAATAGTTAAAATTACACTAAAATGTGTATCTTATTTATTATAGGTTATTATGGTTTATTTGGTATATAAAAATAGTAGTTAAGTAATCAGCCTATGCACTTAGGCATTGTTAATATGATATAGATATTCTTACACTATGGCTAATAAATTAGAGAGAATAATTTAAATTTTACATATTCTTTTTAAAAAAGGATCGGTGTTTTAATGTGGGCTACTAAATGCCCTCTTTGCCTCAAGAGCCGGGATAGGGTCTACGGTGTCGCCTTCAAAGGACTACTTGCCCTCTTTCCTGCGAGGATATTTCGTACACTCCCTACACGTTATATTAAAGGATTTTTGTATTAAAGCACTAAAAAAACTTTAAACGGGAACTAACTAACGTACCCTACGTTACCTTGTTTTTCTCTATAGGTTGGTATTTATTGAACACTAAGCCTTATTGAAATGTCTATTCAAAAAGGTAAATTTCCCTTTCCCTTCTTCAGTATTTTTACAGGTATTATTCACAAAAATATACTACAAAAATATCGATTAATTCGTATCACATCCCTAAAAATACAATTGGGATACTAAACAAAAGATGGCGCTACGTGTTATTGTTCGTTTCGCCACGGTCACAGATATTAAAATAATCGTTGCGTTTCGTGTGAATAGAGACATTAAGTATTTTATCTATTATTCGTCGCGTGAAAATAATCGATTCGATGAAGTATGTAGTGTTCTATTGGCTTGTATCACGTCTTTGCAATTATTTTAATTCCTAATTCATTGACCATAATAGGTGATTAATAGGGAGTAATTAAACGGCAATCACTACCGAAGCAAAACGCACTTTTTCAATATACTTAGAAATAAATTGAACGAAAAAGTAGAGTTTGTTTATGTGTGCTAATACAATGTTGCATCGTGAATAAGTTAAATATAACAACAAAAAAATAGTTATGTATCGCTATTCCCCACGAGATGGCGCTGCGTGCAGTCCACTTAATCTTTTATGTTATAATATC